CTTTCTTCCAATTCCAAGCTCCTGCAGAGCTTATGTATTGTAAGTTGTAAAAATCAAATAACACAAAGCAGGGAAACAATTCATGTATTTAATCCTGTTATTTGTATGCATGTGGGTTGCTGGGTGGCCGAGCGGTCTAAACTGTCTCTAACCAAATAGTTGGTGGTCTGGAGTTCAATCCCCACCAAAGCCAACATCTCAAGCACCCCGGGTGGATGGGACTCGTTAGCCCTGGGCGGCAACCCATCTAGGAGAAGGCAAACTCTGAATTCAAACCAGGAGCCAGAATGATCAACACATTGATCGTGGGCTCCTCAAATATAAGAAGAAGAAGAGAAGAAGAAGGTTGAATGGCATAAGATTAAGAAATAATTATATCCACCTAAAAGCTCACTCCCATCCCTACATCCACAGCAATGTCACTTTCAAATAAAAATCCAAAATTACATACTCAACTGCACTGGTCACACTCAATACTACTTTCCTTTAACCTAACACTCTTTTTTCCTCACTTGTTTTTTTTCCAGATACACTGCCCAGTGATACTATGGTTTTAAACAGCATTCTGTCCCTACCTATAATATTCTTTCCGAGCAGGCTCATTAAAGAATTAGAAACAATAAAAAAATAAATCAATTAAGAAAAAATAACATAATAAATTAAATAACTATATTTATTAACAAATCGGGCAAAGTTATTTTAAAAAATAAAAATAATAAACATGTACATGAAAAAACATACGACATGCTTCAATCCCAATACAATCAATAATAAATATTTTATAAATAATACATTAGTAACATCCAACATTAGATTGGAAAAAACAAAAAAAAGAATTGAATGAAGAATCGTACATTATGATATGTATAAAAAAATATTCATACTGGTAAAAAATACATGAATAAAAGAAATGAAAAATAATAGACCAAATATACATCAATAAAATAAAATAAAATACCATTCATAAATAATGAAAGAATTGAAATTACCAAAAAAATAATACACTACAATGATGGAAACATATTAAAAACACAGTAAAAAGAATTAAATTACCAGCATGACTGACAAAACCATGATTTTATTTTCATACTGGATCTATATCCAACACAATCGTAGTGCAACCATTCCAGACAATGATCACACTGTACCATCTTTAACTCTCCATCATCTATAGTTTGACAAGAGTTGGATGAAAATAGATTATCTTGACTTTTTATACTAACTCAAGCCAACAATTCCCACCTCAAGGCATACTCAAGAAATTTATCTTTAATTGAGCTAAAATTATTATCCACTAAACATGCGTCCAACAGGCTGGGCAACTTTAATTGATCTATAGTTTACGGGGGTTCACCACCTGTCATGCATGCATTTACATATCAATCAAATTTAACATCATCTATCAATTTGTCAAACTTTAAAGGAACTGAATGTTTTCTTTTTCTCCTAGTGAAATTCTGTTTATTATTATTGGCCTGCCCTTAACTCGTACTCTTTTTAAAATAATATTAGAAAAATTAGCATTAGTTTCAGGAAATGAGTGTTCAGGATATACAAGGTAAGGATTGAGCATCAGTTAAACTAACTGCTACTGCTATTGCAGAAGAACAAGGTAGTGACTCAACATTACAATTGGCGCTAGTTGAACATGTCAGTGAATCTACACATTAATGAGAATAGTAGTAGTGGAAGGTATAATATTAACAGATGGAGAATGCACTGAATCAGCATCATTTAAAGCAGGATCTATAGGTTCACTGTGTGTCAATTCAACATCATTAACAAAAGCAATATAAGTAGTAGCACTAGTTAATGAATCAACATTTAAATCAACACTAGGCACAGTGATATCAGTATTTGTGAAAGCAGGCTCAATAGGAGGACTGGCTGCAAAATCTGCTACCAACATGTCATCGCAGGAATCAATGCCATGCCAGAGATTGATTAAATGCCTGACTTAAAGATATTTTAAAATCAGTGTCTCCAAGCAAAAGCAAATAGGAAGAAATTTCACTAACAAGTTTAGAGGTCAATAAATATTTGTCCTCTGGGGCACTAAGATTTACATTAGAAAAAATGTGTTCATTAATGATTAATGGCACCAGTGTTTTGTACAGTTTGATGCAGGCCGTCAAAATGAGCTTTATTCTTGAACCTGTGATGATTCATAAATAGAAAGACCATTCTGCTTTCTAACAAACATTACATGTTTACAGTTTAAATCAAAACTTTAAAAAAAATAACAAGTGCAACCATTATATGTTGCAACAGATTGTGTGTGGTACACTACATGAAACATTAAAAGAAGGCTCATTTGATATTTGAGTACAATGAAATTCAACTTTTCCTAAAGATAAAAATTGCTGAACAACAATATATTCAGAAGCAAAATGTTAATAATTCTTTATTTTTATTTTTATTAATAACTGGATCATTCAGTTGGGCATGATAATGTCTTGCATTTGAATTTAAAATTGATGATAATTTTGATAGCTTACTTATTTGTGAATCATGACAGATGAGCCGACTGATGCATGAGTTTAGGTTTGTCTGATGATTTAAAATCTGTTTAATTTTGGAATGATAGGATTCCACATGGTTTTTGGTGGTCAAGCCCAAAGTGATGGTGTCTAGATTTAAATGCCTGGCCCACATTTCATGCTTATTCCACCAGTTCTCCTCAAAATAGGTTATAACCTGAACAGGTGCAATATTTGTTATTTCATGTTTTAAAATGTTGAACTCGCTTACAGAATCTGTCTCTTTCATTGAAAAAAAATAGATTTGTAATAGCTTCAATTAAAAGGGAGGTTAAAGCTCTCTTAATATCACTTCCCTGAGCTCGGTGTTGGACACTGACGTATATTGAAGCAGTGTGTTCAAAATTGGGGTCAGTTGGATCTTCCTCCTCTCAGTCAATGCATCAACACTCTAAATAAAAAAGAAATAATAGTAAATTTTGTATGTAAAAAAATATATATCTAAATGTAGCCTATAACTTAAAATAATATAATGTATACTATATAGGTACAATAGAATTATATTACAAGCATGTCTGTGGAATAACATCTTACCTCTTGGGACAGCATGTGGTTGGCATGAACTAAATCCAATTGCACCACTTGCAATTTCCAGCTGTCTTGGACTTGGACCATTTTAACTTTTAATTTGGCTGGACACCCTAGTTTTAATGACCTATAAAATAAAGAAACAGTTTTAAACAAGATTAACTATGGTCTTTTAAAGTGTAACAGTAATAGTTTTCACAAAACAAATGAATACATTATAATACATGTACATTGTATGAAATAACTATACTGATACTGTCTAATAATATATTATTAATTATATCGAAATCTATATTATATAATTTAATATTAATATCCATTCATAATAACTAATACGAAACAGATTATATTATAAATTTGCAGATAATTTTTTTAACGTCATTTTGAAGTTTTAATGACCTATAAAATAAAGAAACAGTTTTAAACAAGATTAACTATGGTCTTTTAAAGTGTAACAGTAATAGTTTTCACAAAACAAATGAATACATTATAATACATGTACATTGTATGAAATAACTATACTGATACTGTCTAATAATATATTATTAATTATATCGAAATCTATATTATATAATTTAATATTAATATCCATTCATAATAACTAATACGAAACAGATTATATTATAAATTTGCAGATAATTTTTTTAACGTCATTTTTATTCTTGCTTTCCTTTCTAGCCAGTTCAGTATCAGTAGGTTTATATTGTATAATTATATATTAAATAATATATGTAAGTAATGTAAGATTGTAAATATCCATTCATCATTCATAATCACAATAAATATTACGAACCAGATTATATTTGCAGAGAATTTTTTAACGTCATTCTTAGTTCTAACGTCATTCTTAGTTCAGTATGTTTATATTGTATATATTTAAGATTAGAGTTATAGATATTGTCTATTGTATTCTATAACTTGAAGCATAAGTCAAATAAGTGTAATAATAGTTTCTATTCGAAAATTAATTAATAAACTAAGTAAGATAGACTTACCTTTTTAGAACTCTTTTTTTTTTTCTATAAAGACAGCATTTCGAAGCTCTCCTAAAGCTTTGATGGCATTTTCCAAATCTTTGAAGGTATCAAAATTGCAATTTGCAGCTAAAACACTTTCAGGATTCATTACTGAGCCGAGATGCTCTCACAAGTACGAACAAGTAAAAAAAATGATCGAGGCATTACTTCGCCCTCGTCATAGAAAGCGGGTTTTTAAAGTTCCGGTTTTCGTTTGATGTGATTGACTGGAGTACCAATAGCCCCTAGAGAGCTATTGGTAGTTCACTACCAATAGACACTTCCTATATATATTATGATTGAATTGTTTTTTTTAGTGAACTCCTGGATTGCCAGGATGATTTATAATTATAATAATGATGAATAACAATAATTACCATAAAAATGACAGATAGATACTGTTACTGTGTGTTTTTTGTAAAAGTATAATAATACTGATATTAACAATCTTCCTGTCCTAACCTAAGTTCAACGTCAAGAACAAGATTCAAGAATTTCAGATCAGTATCAGATTAGAATTAGGGGGCATCCATTAATTACATCAACAAAAATGGGGTTGGGAGGAGAGGTTGGTGAGGAGAGGTTGGTGAGTGTTGGTTGTAGGCAATGCTGGGAAAGATATTTAGATAGGAGATGTGTGTTGTTGACGGGGGGGGGGGAGGGGGGAGGTCTAGATTTGTAGACGTCAACAATCATATTTTTTCTATTAGAATGTTAATGTTAAAAATAGACTGGTTCTTACATTATTTTAAACAATTTTAATGAGTGTAAATAGTAATATATGACTTTATTCGCGACATGTTTATGATCGCCACTCTTCAAAATTTGCGCATATCATACATAAAGTCTAACTATAATAAGTTAAAGTAGGTTCTTTCCGAGAATTTTCGGGAAAACCCGTCAGCTGTAAACACTGGGTCAAAGGAGTCAAAGGTAAATGATGATTTTGGGTTGAAAGGTCAAGTTTGTTTTGTGTTTACAACAACAAAATATGGGGCAAACGTGCGCAAGCTTCTCGACATTCTCGAGAGAATTCTATTGTCTGCCTCGATATTTCGAGAACTTCTTGTGGAGGGATATAAATATTAGTCAGATGATTGTGTGTAACAGTAAGAGTGAAACGAAAACTTGTTATACAGAGCAGACGCGCATTTAAATAATATGTTTGCCATAACACCCCGTTTGGACGACTTCGGTCTGTTACGCTTTGCTGATGAGCTCTCTAACTGCTGGGATCGTTCTCCCCTTTTACAAGCTGTTGGAGTTGACAGGGAATCAGAGGTATTTATATTTATAACTTTGTGTTTGTTAATTCGGTTATCGTTATTTCCATAAATATAGCTAATGATCTTGAATTAATTTTTTTTTTAAATTTTAGGCCTGCTCACCAGGGCAGAGCCTGGTGCAGTTTATTTTACACATCCGCTCAGGGTATTTTGAGAAAATACCCGACATGTCCGTCCGAGTGTTACAAAAATAATAGTATAATTATCTTATTTTCTATACTATAATATAATCCTAACCCAGTGGTTCTCAATTTTTTTAATGCATCCACCGCTTAACTTAATAACAATAGTGGTTGCCAAGACTGCAGCCACCCAAAACCAGAGTTAGGCCTATATTGCCTATAGTCTATAGTATATATTGCTTGAACTTGAGAAACAAGTGTTGAGAATTACAAGTGAGAACGGGGCAGAGCTTTTTGTAGATAAAAAAAGTGTTGGTACCGTAATTGTGATCAGGGATATAAGGGAGCAGAAATAAGGGCTAAGACTTAGAAATGTGGAGGGTTCTGGAAAGGGCGCAGAACATGTTTTAATAAATTCAGGCACCTGGTTAGAGTTTTGCTTTGAAGTGGCCAACTTTTAAGTTGAAGCAACAATAAAAAAAATGAAAGTGATTATTCGCAAAGCCGTGCGTATAATGCTCGCCGCTATTTGAAGATTTTGGTCTGCCGATAACGCTCTGCATTATTCGCAGAATGTGATAAATTAAATTATGAATATAAAATATAAAGTTCACCTTGTAAGCAGCTCCTCAGTAGTATAGTGGTAAGTATCCTCGCCTGTCATGCGGAAGACCCGTGCTCGATTCCCCGCCGAGAAGCTACTTTTTATAATTAAATATTTAAAAAAAATAAATATTTAAAGGTTATTTCGTATGGGAAGCGTTATTCGCAGATCTCTGCGAATAATGCCGAGTGTTATTCACAGATCTCTGCGAATAATGTTGAGCATTTTCGACAGACCGACATCTTCGTGAATGATGCAGAAGGTTATTGGTAGACAGAAATTTTCAAATAATGTAGAGCGTTATTTGCAGACAGAAATTTTCCCATAATTACGCAAATTTCTAGAACAAATAAGGATCAAATTCCAAGCCGGGGGTGGGGGGTTGTAATTTTAAGTAGTGTTGTATATATCGATCTTTAATGAGTATGAGTAAAATTTAATAGGCCTAACTATAGCCTATATATTGGATATAGGACAATTAATTGTGCCTACATCTGCTCTGATGCTCTGTTAGTTTTATTATACTTTTTATTTATACAATTTTATTATACTTTTCATTCTGTATATAGGACAATTAATTGTGCCTACATCTGCTCTGATGCTCTGTTAGTTTTATTATACTTTTTATTTATACAATTTTATTATACTTTTCATTCTGTCCAACAACATAGGTATTCAAAATTCTAGTTTCAATCTATTTTTTTAGAATGTTCATTCAAGTTTGTAAAAAACTCGTATCCAGAAATTTGATCGATAGAAATTTGGTCGATGGTAAATTGATAGACTGTAATTTGATGGAACGGAAATTTGGTTGAATCTTCTTTTCAGTTTTTATGTTAAAATTTTGTTTTAAATTTCTTTTTGAACTCATTATTTTGTTTTACTATATAGTATGGTGCGTTTAAAAAGAAATTAGACAAAAATTTAAACGGGTGACCTGACAACATTATTCGCAGAGCTTTGCGGAGATCGCTTCCCATTAAAAAATGAAACAAAAGAAAAATGTTAATAAATATCAAAAGCAATTTAAAAAAAAATGAAAATAAACTGTCCAAATATTTATATTAAACTGGTTATATTCAAACTGGAGGCAGAAATGCGTAAACTTCCCATCTGTATAAAGTTGACAAAATGCATTGAATTAACATACTTTATAAGAATCCGAACAAGTGCTACAAGTCCCCAACTACATTGTATGCTATTTACACACATTTATCATGGCCCTGAGCTATATGTCCCAATCCTTTTTACAACAGATTTATTCAGAGGCATAGCGAGGGGGGGCGGGGGGACAGATGTCCCCGGGCGCCAGCTAGTTAGGGGCGCCAAAATGTGCTTTGATATATTAATGGTAAAAATAATGTGTTTGAGAGTTGAAAAAAGAAAAGGGGGCGCTTTAAAATTGATCTTGTCCCCGGGCGCGAATCTTGTCCCCGGGCGCCAAACACCCTCGCTACGTCTCTGGATGTATTACATCATATTTAAATTGAGACTATTCCCAAAACAAAAGAAATTATTACACTCCAAACACACTTGCAGTATTTTTAAGAATTTCATTTAGAGCTGTTATCTGGAATTTTATTTTGTACTGTTGAAATCACCATTACACCATACATACCTAAAGAATTATATCAATTGATTGATTAGCTGCTAACATTTACCTAATATATCGTTAAAAAAATTATTTTAAGTAGCTGTGGTAGTGTAGTAACAATCAGAAACTAGTCAGATCACTGCAAATATTTCAATTTTGAAATGAAATGTCAAATAAGAAATAATGCACATAACAAACAGAGACTTAATATAACTACCAGTACTAGGATAAAGAAAATGTCTTGAAGTCAAAGTATAATTTTAAGCATAATTTTATACTAAGTTGTACTAAATTTTATACTACTATTGTTATAATTTTTCCTTTTTAAAAACAAATTTATGCAATTTTAAAAACATTTGGTTGACTTATAATACACATTTTCTGAGTTTGTTCAAACTACTTGGTGAAATTTTAGCAGACTTGGTCTTGATTCTGTTTATTTACTAACTGATTTTATCAAAACAGTAAAGTTGAACACCTGACTGTGTTATTGGTAAACTGAGGTTGACAGGTTGCTTTTCACCAATTGAATTAGTCAAAACCTGTGCATTTTAAAATCTTTGTTTTTTGTGTAGGCCTAATTACATTGGGACTAACAATGCATCTAATTCATCTTTATTCATCTAATTTTTTAAAGGTTCAAAATACTGACAAAGAATTCAGAATTCGTTGTGATTTTAGACACTACAAACCAGAGGAAATCAAAATTACCTCTGATAACCAGCGTGTGACGATTCATGCAAAGCATGAGGAGAAGCAGGACAATCATGGCTTTGTGTCTCGTGAAATCTGCAGAGTTTACAAACTGCCAGAGGTAAGTAGATATTTATTTCTTTTACAGACTCGGTATTGAATCCACTTAATAATTTGTGGTAATATTTTTGGGGGCTATTCATATTCTATTCTACAAAAAAACAACACAAAAAGCACTTAACTAAGTTTCTTTAAAGTCTAAATAAACAATATAAAATGGAGTTAAGACTTGTTTTAGCTAAAGCTTAGGGCAACATGATTGCAAATGAAATGCTTAGTGTATATAATGGTTTCTATAACATATTTCAGATATATTTACCTCTGGTACCTTAAATGTAACTGATATTTCTTACTTATTTTTCAGGATGTTGATGCCAAGTCCGTTACCTCCTCATTGAACTCTAAAGGTGTCCTCAACATCAAAGCCTCCAAACTTGCACTTGAAGCTCCTAAAGACACACCAATTCCTGTTCAGTTTGCTGGTTAATGTCACAGCCTTGAAATATTTTTGAAATGAAGTATTTTGCTTTTACTTCATTGGTTGACATTATTTTTAAAGGTTCACAATAGTGCCACATGAACAAGCTAACAATTACTAACATTAAAGGACCAGGTCCGAATTTCTTGTTCATTGACACTTATGTTTTTATTTTCATTGTTACTGTATTTTTTTTGTTACTGTATTTTTTTTAATATTTTTTTTTATGAATCATTAAACTTGAATATAAATATTCAAGAAATTAAATTCTCATCTTTGCTGTTTTCTTTCTTTAAATTATAGCTGTTTGATTTACATAGCCTAGCATCACTATACAGTTTGTCAACTTGACAGAGGGTTTGTTTCAAAATGTTAGCATTTCTCTGACATGGGAGAAAAAATGAAATGTACAAGAATGTACACGATTGAATCTTTGTTCACAAAAATAAAGCTAAAATGTTTGTTTTTAACAGTTAACGTTGAACTTTTCAATATTAAGGCCAGACTTCTATTTGTTAGATTTGTCTCCCTGTGTGCATTGCTGAAGCAGAACAAGATACATTTAAATACCTTGTAAATCTACACCCTCTGAATAACTGCACTGTACCAAGTAAAGAGAAAAAAAATTTTCTTTGTGAAAATAATAGTGTGTATAATTTTAAAAACAATTTAAATTGAACTTGAGGTGAATGTCTTAGGTATTAAACGAGTTGTAAATTGGGTGTGAATTACCCTTCAAATGTTCTAAAAGCTACAACTCTGTAGCTTCTATAGTTGTTTGAGATGCCCTGATCAGCTTCACTGCTCCCCCACCCACCCAGGGTCATCTTGACAGTAACAGGGGCCCTGGGGGAAAGTAAAACACAGGACCCCCACCATTCCCATCTAATCGAATTTAAGTAGTCAGTTAAACAAAACATCTTTGTTATTGTTTTTGTCATTCAGTCATAGGAGGCTCAAACAGCTCTGCCCTTGGCTTTCTACAGTAAACTTCAATATCCATGACTAGGTCTCAAGTCCTGCGGGAGCACATGGAAATGGTGTTCCTGTACTTTTGTTTTTTCGGGCCGAGTTCTGAGTTTTTTTCCCAAAACTTGAACCCCGACTATCACTTTGAGTAGTTATAGGTCTACTATATTGGCGGTGTCCTGGGCCCCAGAAGTGGCTGAAATTATAGTATGTCATGCTAATTTTTGTCAATTTTTACCCCCTCCCTCCGTTACAGTATGTCACAAAACTCAGACCACCCCCTCCTAAAGTTATACCACACTTCTCAAACTAAAAATTAACAACTTATTAATCTAAAACACAATTAAAAATAAAATTAACTTCACAAAAGGAATACATCTATCACAGCATAAAGTTTAACATCACTGTCAATTTTAAGGTTTTAGATACATGATAAAAAATATAAAATGTGTGTTACACAAGATCTGCATCCTCCCTCCCCAATCCAGAGCATTATATATTTTATGGCCGGCCTCAAAGGCCTTACTCTGACAATGCACCATAGGAAGGAAACATTTAAGTGCACACGTATGACAGTTGTCAAAATTCATATTTTTAGTGGTGCAATAAAGTATCAAATACCTTTTTGGTTAACAGAAAAACTCATGTATCACAATTGTGTGAATTGTGACAAACCAATATAAGGATAAGGATATTTTAAAATTGAATTGATAAAAAAATTGTATTCCATATCAACTAAATGAAGACCATGCAGCATGGAATAACGATCATCAAAAATTTACATTTTGCTTTAGAAATAAGGCTGCAACCACTACACAACAGCTTGGCTGGCTTTTTAACTAGGTAAAGCTGTAGAGTGGTAAGTTTGGGGCGAGAGAATACATTGTTATATTTAGTTACATTTTAATTTTATGAAAAAATTTCACCAAATAACTTAAAAGGTTTACCTATTGCTAAATGACACTTTTATCTTCTTTTCTGTTCCTCAAATACCATAGCATACAGAAAGAGAATATTACTTAACACTTCAGAAACTCATTTTTAGATATAAACAAGTTGAAAATTACTTATTTGTAAAAAAAAAAATAACGTTAGCACCCATTTATGGCCCTACAGTATCTGAAACGAGTACTTTTTTTACATTGTTTTTATTTATCATATTATTAAATTTAAATTCCTCAATCGTGTCTTTTGAGTAAACGTTACTTGAAATTTAGGTGCGCACCTTAATTTCATGTGTATGATACTGTATGCCTTCATTTCGGTAACTATATTCTATATATTCCAATTTTAGCAAATACTAGCACTGATGTAGTACATATATAGCAAAAAAATTGATTTTGGTTCTTTCATTGAAATATTTAGATTTCAATCAAAATATAAATGTGTACTCATAAAAAATATTTTATCACGTCTGTCGCAAAAAATAAAATAATTAAAACGAAATCAAAATTTTTAAAATATATAAAAAATATGGATTAAAAAGTTATCTCGAAATTATGTCAGATAACTGTAATAAGGCGGTAAAAAGTAGTACCATCTAGCGAATTCAAAACAAGATCAGACCTGAAATCGTGGGAAATATTCCCCTCAAAGTTTTGACTCTGCTGTGTATATTTAATTTAATTGTGACATAGCAGCTCTCTGTACCCAGAAAATGTCAACATTGGTAAAAACAAAACCTATTAAAAAGACCAAATATAGGCCTACAGCCTAACATTACCTTTCAATTCAATATAATAATTTACTTTTTTTACATAAATTATAAATCATCATCAATCAATCATATTCATATTATTATTTTATTATAATATTTTATTCCAAATCAAAGATTTTCCACAATTTACATGAACCTTGTTAATGTCAGTAGCATGTCACTCATGCCATGACAGATTAATCAGAATAAATTATAATATAAGACTGTACTGAACTGTAACTGTATAATTTATATTACAAAGTGTCAACATGTCTGACGACCGGACGAATAATTCTCGAGATATTCGTCTAGTGACCATGTCACATGACCGCCGTAACAAAGTTGGGGGAAATATCTGTCCACCTTGTCACGTGTCCGCTAATAGTTGATCATAAAACTGGCATCGGAGATGCATGGGGGGGGGG